CTCTCCCTCTCCCTCTCTCTGGAAACAGACGACCATGAACCGCTGGTTAGTATGTTCCCTCTATTCATGCCTGGAGGTTGATAACCGGGCGGCAGATCACACTGGTGCCCTTCGTCGAGCTTCACTCACTTGACTTAGTCTTAACCCGTGTGACCCCTGCCACAGGTGTGACCTGGTATCGGGCGCTCTTCCGGAACTGCCCACGCTACCCAGGGAGCGTTCCGGACGCCACTATTTCAGCATCCCTTGTGAATCGGTAAACCCGTTTCTCGAGGCATCGTCAAACAGATTTCGGAATATGCGCATTTACCTTCATCCCTGACTCGGCGCATTACGGGTTGATACGGGCCGAGAGAAGTTCTCGGTCCAACAAGGCTGAACGTTCCTCCCAACGGATGGTATCGCCGGCCCCGGTCCGCGCGGTCGGGGCCCGCTGGCGAGGCATTGCTGGGCTCCCCCTCCCGTCCGGCGGGGGACAGCTATTCCGGCTTTCTCCCTGGCCCGCCGCTCTGCGCTCGTGGGGTGTCGCCATGAGTCTTGAGGATGAGGATCCCTGTCGGCTGGTCGCCCTGCCGATTGGGCATTGCTTCCTCCTTCTCTCGCTCCTCTTTCCTTCCTTGCCTGCTTTTCCTCTCGGCCTCTTTCCTGGCTCCTTTCGTCCGGTGATGCTGGTTTCGAAGGCGGTTGGACGGGCCCCGCGTTTGAGGGGCTCGCCGGCATTGGTGATGGCCGCCTGGCGGGGCTGGCCCCTCCTCGGGCGTGGCACGCCAGCCACCCGGGGCCCGATCTCCCCAGTGACCAAGCACATGCACGCGGCTGCAGCCGCCGAAATCAAGGCCCCCATGGGGATGTCGCTGGTCCATGTGCGGGCATTCTCCTCGGCCGCCGGAAGCACGACCACCAAGGTGGTGGCTACGTCCGCCGGGTGTGCGAATTACGACGCCGAGTGCGCCGGGGCGCGGCTCTGCCGGGCCATGGAGGCCGGGGAGGAGCCCCTGCCGCAGGGGTTCGACGATGTGGCGCACTTCCGGCTGTTCCTGCGGCTTG